AGGGTTTTTGGGGTGAATTTAATACCCCTTCTCCCAAAAGACCCTTGCCTGCCAATGGTGGTGGGGGCACTTTAACTAAAGCTTGATGAATGAGCTTTAGTTAAAGCACCCCTGCCATCATTTTGAAGTGTAGGAATGCTGTTACATGAGATGCTGTGAGTGCTTTAATTAGAGCGGCTCTGGGAGTGGGGAAGGGGCGCTTTACGCTTGGAGCCACTCTAATTAAAGCACCCCCCAGAGCACGTGTAAAGATGCCCAGGAAGCCTAAAACTACACTGTACCCCCTATTACCTCTTGCTTCTGTTCTCCAGCTGTGATCCATAAGGGGCTACAGTGAGGAGGTCACCAGAGTGGTGGGAATGCATGTGCCAAATGTTTCTTTAGTAGCTACCAGCCACAATTACTGTCATTTCTGGAGTGCCACTGAATGTGTGACATCTCAGCTGGGCCGTGAGATAGCAGTCAGGGCTGCAAGCGCATACACTAAGGAGAGCCAGTCATTTATAAACCCAGTGCTGACAACAGTAAGCAAGAAGGATCATTTGACCAGACCTCCATCCAACTGACAAGCTAGGGTGATTTGATTTTGGAGAGACTCTGCACCTTTACTCCCATTTCAAAGAATGCAGATGACATAAGCAACATTTTATGCCATGCTACAGACTGAGAAAATCATGTTTGAAGATGAGCAGAGGGGAGGAAAAAAATACCATGTAGAGTGTGAATGCCTGAATGTGGCATCTTTAATAGCTGCAGAAAGCTACTGGAAGTCTGTAAAGGAAAAGCAGTGTTGGACCTGCCACCTGAAAACTTTTGCTTAAAAGTAACTTAATATTTCAAACACTGTGTACATTCTTTTCCTTTGCTTACATTAAATATAAACATTGATTTATCAGGCAAATCATGCAGTTATTTGTTTTCTTGAAGAATACTGGAAGCTGCTACCAACATTGGAATTCAACTATTTTTAACCTCTGTGCTGCTTTCTGGAGAGACTGCACTCTGGTCTGCGAGTCATCAAAGAGCTAAGCTGAGATAAATGAAGGTGGAGTACAAGAGTGTTTGCACCAACTTGTCCAAAGTTAGGTCTGCTGCTGTTCTAGGGTGTCACCTTGGGCAGATCTCCACCTCCCTGTTCCCCTTCTCTGTCTTGTCTATTTAGAATGCAAGCAGGGCTGTTTATTTCTTACTAGGTTTGTTCAGCGTCTAGCAAAATGGGCCCCTGATTTCAGTTGGGCCACAAGGGGTTTCCACAGAATTCAAATCTACAGCATGTTGCAAAAGAAATACCAGTGTATCCAGGTTATAAGTCGTTCAGTATTTGGCAACCCCACAAGACGGCTCTCCTCTCACCTCTCTGGTAACCATTGCTTCTATAGTCACATTTAAAAACCCTCCCCTGAGAAGAGCACCAAATGAGTAACATCAGCTGACATCCCCTACTCTGATTGGGGTATAGGTTGTAGCTGTGCTTGGTCCAAGGACATAGGCAGACAAGGCTCTTTGGGTAAAGCCGATATCTTTTATTAGACCAACTCAATTTGAGTTGGTCTAATAAAAGATATCAGCTTTACCCAAAGAGCCTTGTCTACTCTGTGATTTACACTTAGTGAATTTACAAGGCCAAATCCAGCATGGCTATTATGGTACTGAACTTAGGGGTATTGCACCCACTTATGCCACAGCAAAATTTGTTTTCTGTATTTGCATGTGTTCCAGGTGAGGTGGACAAAAGAAAAGATTCGAGGACACCTAGAAAGCCAATTTAAAAACAAGCAATATTAACACCAATTCTTGGGAGACTCAAGAACCGCACCATCCCCAGTAGTACTGTGATGTACAAGGCATTGCTCATTTTGAGCAAACTTGCTTCCCTATGGCAGCACATAGGCAAGAGAGGCAAAAGGAAAGATCTGTGACCTGATATCACTGGGATCTACTCCTTCCTCCTGAAACTATTTGCCACACCTGCAGTCAAACATGCAGATCTCGGATTGGTCTCCTCAGTCATTTATGGACTCACTGATGACTTCCCTATTTACTGGAAGACTGTCATACTCATATCTAGGAACTGCCCCTGATGGTCCCAAGTGAGGAAGCTGGCTTTGGAGACCTTGTTTATACTGCAGTTACCCCAATTTCATCCACTAGTGGTTAGTGTCCATGTAGCTGCATCAGTGCAAACCCTCACATGAAAAAGAAAAGCTATACTGTTGGCATCAGCATAGCTGTGTTGCTGAATGGACATGTGATGCTGGAACTGGGGCAAAACCCCAGCTCAGGTAAATCTTGGAAAGCTGCTCAGCCATTAAGATGGGAATGCGCCAATATGGTGCCAAAAAAAGCTGTAAAACAAGACTAATGATCTGAATCTGTACATGAACAGATTGTAGCTTGTGCTTTCAAAGCTTCCACAGAATTCTTTTCATCTTTGTACCTGGACCAGCAGGCAGGGTTTATGCTGATTCCCATGTCTGTTGATTTGACCCATGCATTCAGTGAAGCTTACAAAAGAATTCAAAATGCTTACAAGGTGCTTGGAAAGTAGATACTGGAATGTATGTATCTGTAATTACCTGAGGTAAACCTGATGTTAAAGCACCAGTCAGTGGGATATTCAGCACAATAAATCAGGTAGTACCCTTGAAGGAAGCCGTTGTAGAGACAGAATAACATGCCAAAGTACAGTATGTGCAGTGGGAAAGGTCTGCCTCTGGTGAGGAAGGGATAAATGAATGTCCTGAGGTAGATAAGAAAATAAGTTAAATCAGAAATCAGCATGTTAAGACATTCCACATAACATTGTATTTGCAGTAACAGCTAATAAAAAAATAAGTAAGATGAACTTAGCCAAGTAATACAAATAATAAGTAGCATCACAGGAACATATAGTATTTTGGAATGAAACATGGGCAAAGCAGAGGGCTGAGAACTAGAAACCCCCCACTGAGACTCCCTCTGACCCTGAAAAAAAAAGAAATATCAGTTGGCCTCCTTGGCTTGATTTTTCTGTCTTTGTAGAGTGAGGAGCTTTTGTCACTGTACAATGGTTTAAAAAAAAAGCTAGACTGTGTCTTGGCATAATGGTGCTTAGACCTGAGCAAGGGGTGATGTGAAGACAGCCCTACTAGGAAGATCAGGAGATACTCAGCTGAGGCACAAAGTCACCCAGGTTCTACTGTTGGATTTAGGCACAGTTTGTGCACACACTGACAATCTGTCTCTAAGGGTGCAAAAGAAGTTACATTTGTCACACGATCAGCCCCTTGAAAGTGCTCTACAGCTGTGCCCTGACAGAACAACATGGCTGCAGAGCGCTTTAAAAGTGCCTGATTGTGCGACAATCTGAACCCTCATTATATGCATATCTCTTCAAATCAGAATGCCTTCATTAACATCTGTCAGTGCATGCCGGGAGTAGTGCTGACTTCAGAATGGGAAGGGAAGAAGGGAGGGGAGGGAGTTCCATCTGAAGCTTGCCCAGCCTGCGCTGGAGGGCACGGCGGGTGGTTTGAACCTTGGGAAGGCTCTAATCCACCCACCCCACCCTTCAGCACAGGCTGGGTAAACCCCAGATGGAGCTCCTTCCCCTCTCTCTTTTCCCCATCCCATCCTGAAGACATCACTGGAGCTGGGAGTGGGGAGGAGTGGGGCTGGGGGACAGAGGCTGCAGACATGTAGCCACTCCAGTCTGGAGCTTGATCCCACAACTCCCCAGACCCAACAGTGAACATCTGTTGGGTCAGGGGGCATGCTGTAACTCACAACGCTTCCTGTGAAGCACCATGAGTTACAGCATGGAGCTGCACACCTGTCAGCACCCTATGTGTTTCATCCCTGGGTCACACCAGAAAACTTGCAGAGCCAGAGAGAATGTTGAGAGCACTTCCTGTTCAGTCTTGTGCTTTCACCAAAAGAACATCCTTCCTACCTCTTTTCCCACCAGCACATTTTTGAGGCAGTAAAAAGCATTTTCTAAATTTTTATTGGTTTTTTTTTGACAAAGCATAATAGAGCAGATCTCACACTAATATTAACTTCCCTCTTCAGCCTGTGTTCAAAATGGAGGGTAAGTACAATAAAGATACTGTGGGGGAAAAAAGGGGGCACAAAATCAGGTAATGATAGCTGAGTAGAAATAATTTGAACATGGTCAAGAACGTTAGCAACTCTTACTATTTTATTGTGAATTTTAGGTGTTTTCTTTGAGGTCTCATCCCCTGGAGCCATCAATACACAAGAGAATTTCAGTTTTCATTTCTTTATTAGTACTAGTTCCTAAGTGCTGTGCAAACAAGCAAACCAGCTAAAACAAAAATAAGCCTCCGCTTCTCGTGGTTGCAGAGAAAAGTTTGAAAACAGGAGTCAAGTGAGCTCAGAATTCAGAAGGCAAATAAAAAGGAAACTTTCTTTTAAAATGTCATGGTCTTTGGGACTGCAGCACATTGGGTTCCCAGGGGGCAGCCATGATGCCCCCTGGTGGCTCCACAACTGTGCCCTGCTTTGCCCCAGGATGCCTTATCTTCTCACCCTCCGTGCCTTGATGGTATAATAATAATAGGGAGGCTGCCACGGGCCTTCACATGGCCCTTGTTTAACTGAACCTCTGCTAGGGTTCCCTGGCACCCTATTGGTTTGTACTATTCCCCAGGCCCCTTGCTGGGCCCTTCTGGTCCCAGGCCCTTTCGTGCCTTCTCTGCTCGACTGTGCCCTGCAGGGCATCCAAAGCCTTAAGGGCTAAGTGCATGGCTGCAAATTCTCCCCTACACTATGCCCAAGCCTTGTGGGTGTTACATTATTATTGTTCTCCTGTCGAGGCTTTGGCCTCCTCCCCTTTATTCTCAGCTAGGCCTTCTAGCCTGGGCCCACTGGGTCAGAACTGGCTTTGAGGCACTAGCTCTGGTTCATCTCTTCCGGTCACCAGGCCCCTGTCTGCTGGGCCCTAGGGTCCTGTGTGGTGGCACGCTCATGGGCACTGGGCCGCTGGCCCCTTCCTGGCTCTGTACCCTTTCACCCTGCCCTTCTCTGGGCTCAACAGTAGCTCAAGCCTGCCACTGGCAGGGCTCAAGGCAGTCACATGCCCCATGGGCATTAATAGGACCTCCATAAACAGCCCCAATAGTCCCAACCCAAACTGCTGGTATAACTGTAACATACACATAAACCCCTGGGCTATAAACATAAACAATAACAGCAGAAGCATCCCTCTGCCCCTTTAGGAGAGCAAACCTTTCCTCACTATAGCATACCTCCCAGCCCGGGCTCTTTGTGAGCTCCCTGAGTCTCGCTTTTCTCACAGGCAGCAAAGCAATCAGCCTAACATCCCCAGGTGGCTCTCCTGGGCAGGAGTTCCTTCCCCCTTGGCTGCCCAGGAGAGTCTACTTTGCCAGCCCAAGCCTCAGGCTTATATACTCCCAGGGCCCTGCCTACAGGTGCCTACTAATTGCCTCATTGACCTGTTACCCCAGCAACCTGCAGCTGGTGTGCCCTGCCTCACCCGCAGAGCTCCCCAGCTGGGACTTGCTCCCTGATTTCAGAAAAGGCTCTTTGGGTAAATCCAATATCTTTTATTAGACCAACCAAAGTAGTTGGAAACATTCTTCTTTGCAAGCTTTTTTTACAAACACCCTTCTTCAGGCAGAGGTTGCAGTTGGTAAAAGCTAACTACACCTGTGCCAGTCTGGCCTCATCAAACTCAGAAGAGTCTACAAAACCTGAAATCTCAAGGAAGATTTGCAAAGATCCCTAACAGCGTTGCTGTAGCAGGGAACCCTCACCCTGGTCCCGGGGGAAGGCTACAAAGTCAGCAGAATATGAGAGGGAAGGGTGTTTGTGGCCCAGGCAAAGGCAGCTGGTAGGCCTGGGACCAATGAGCAGCCACTCTGCTCAGGCCAGCTAATAGATCAGGCTGGCCACAAAGGGCAGGGCTGAGGGGGAAATAGGTTTGTCCTCAGGCTGGAGGGGCAGTAGAACCCAGATCATGACAAGGGCAGGATGGTACCTGCTAAAGGGAGAGAAGGCCAAATGGACACTGAGAATAGCTGCAGAAAAGGGAGCGAGTATCGTTGTCGTTTTCACGTTTTGTTTCTGCGTGGCTTAAGCAACAGGTCTGTGGGGCAAAGCCTGGAGTAAAGATTGTGGCCATGGCCCCAAAGCAAGGGAAGAACTTTCCATTGGGATTTTTTCTTTTTTGTTTTGTAATGGACACCTGAAGAATTGGACTCGACTGTGAGGAGAGGTGGAGTTGCCATGCAGGTCCCCTGCTCATTGTCACACATTGAAGGCAAGGGATCACACCATGAGCGAGAGAAACAAAGACTAGAGAGATCTAATATCCACTTTTGGAAATTAGCTGATGCTGGACTGAATGAGCCTAGGGCTGAAAAGAGCAGATAGAGTAAATCAGAACCTGGCAGAGAAGTTCAGGGCCTAGACAAATATGAAAGGGGGAAGCCAAGTGGCCCAAAGAAACGCTGCTCTTCAAGGCTCTGGACATTTCCTGCTTAATTGATTCCATCAAGGGTGACGGATTGGAGAAGCTAGGAAGGGAGAGGGGGCAAGCTAGCTGACTGCTGGGGGCACATGGCTCCCTCCCCACCCCCTCACAGGACTATTTCCACAGTTGTCAATTGTCTGTTTTAAAAAAAAAAAAAAGCTGTCAGTAAAAAAAAAAAAAATGCCCCTCGCCCATTAAAACATGAGCTTGATTGAGGGGGAAGTTACTACTGTAGTGGTTGACAGCACTGATGTTTCAAGGTATGATCACAAATAGAAAGCTTCTGAGAATGGTTAATATAATTCTTAGGTGTGTCTATTTTTCTACTTTGCATTTCCTTGATGTAATCTTGCCTGTGTTATGGAGGACCAGTTATGGTTAGGGACCTACCTAAATCGTGGTGAGACAAAGTGTTTTTTGAGGCCCCCTTGCGGTGCACAGAGACAATTTTGTAGGCATTTTGCAGTGGCCCCACCCTTTGGCACTAACTGACAGAGAGGCCTGGCCCCTTGGCACTGATTGGTGGAGAGACCTGGTGGGAAGGAGGGACAAGGGGGCAGCTGCCATCTTGTCTGCTGCTTTTCATGCTGCTCGGCCAGCTGGCACTTTCCCCTCCTGGTAGCAAGGACCACTGGCTCTCACTAGGGAGCCAGTATTTTATTAAGTTTTTTTTTTGTTGATTCCATGGATTTTACAGACAACCCTGGATTTTGTGGTTTCCGTGAAATCCATGAAACTGAATTAAGTAGGTCCCTAGTTATGGTTATAGTCTACTATGGTAGCTTTGTATTCCTTCTTTGCATACCCTCATTAGTATACAAGTTCAGAGGTTTTGGGAGGCTACTCATGCCCATCTTACTGTTTATGGGTCTAGGTCTCACTCTTAGTGAGTCACTTTTGGCTGGCATAAAGGGTAAACCCCTGGACAGCAGCCCTGGGTGAGTCTCCCTTCCCAATGGACTGGGCTGGTTTGCTGGTGGCTGATAGTATTAACTGTTTGGGCTTCATTTAATTAATGGTGAAGTTTCTCTCTAAGATTGTGTTCATCCCCTTTTCTCCTGTAATAAAACATTTCAGTTGAATGTTGCTTGGGAGTGGGGAAACTTGTTTACTTTAGAACATCCAGTATAAAAATGTATTTTCCCAAGTTTCTAGATGGATACTTGAGCCAGAATTAAAGCTGGTGTTAAATGCCTCAGTTTGAACCTTGCTCCACTTATTGGCAGAAGGGATACATTTACATT